TCCGAAACGTCGTGTTTTTATTTGTTATCTTAAAAAAACCAGGACGATGGATAAAGTCCAAAAACCCAACATATCAGTGTGTTATACACCATCGTCAGAATCCTATAGTAACTAATGTAAATGTTATTTGGTTCGATAATTTAACAGGCTATTAACATTCAACTTCTATAACCTACGCAACCTTACAACAATACCAAACTTGTGTGAGAGACAATTCCGACTGTCAACGGGCGTAGAATTAACATGTCCTAATTTGGGTAAAATGTAAACATGCCTAAGGGAAGCTCTGCCACATTGTTGGCGACACTGACAATGATGCTACCTGCTCCACAAGGAATTTATGTGGAACGGTGATTTGGGTGTGGTGTTTACCTTTCTGTATTACAGCATTAAATATAATATGTATTTTCGTTGTGTTTTTATTTATGTCTTAATAGCGATTTTTGCAATAATTCGTGAAGGTAAAATATTAACAAGGAAATATAAATGATTACTAATCCCATATTTATTTCGAACAGAAATGAGGTTATGTTTTGTTGTGCAATTCAATTTTAGGAGAAATAATGTCCGAATATACATAAGAATTTAGTGTTTGTAATTTATAACAAAGATCACGGATAATGACATATTCAGAGTGCTGAAATAAAGTCGAACATACTCCTATAATGTGTTTCAACGTTCAAAGTGTCTTTAAATATATTTCAACACTACTAAGTGCTTATGCTCAATTTCAGGTAGTGGACTTGAATGCTATGTTTGCACCGATCAGGAACGAAACGGAGATAAATGTCTAAACACCATAAAGACTTGTGAGCAGGGTGAGGATGTTTGTCTTTCAGAGATAAAATGGGGAAGTAAGTTGGTTTGCTGTAATAATTTCATGTGCCATTTCACTTAGTAACTACAGTTCCTACAGTCTCCTCTCTATTTAGAAAGCCACCTGCATTAATGTTACACTTTGTAATATATCCTTATACACACTTATATGACACTAAATGAATATAAATTAAATTAAGACCAGAAGCAATTTTGAGAATTAATTTCAGAATTCTTTATACTTTCTCTAATCTATGGAAGAGTGAGATACAGCACAGCTATGTAGTCCCCATGTGTTTTGTTATTGTGCAGATCATGAATTGATTTGTTGGTAGGTCCAGGTTTGTGGTATTCTCTTTAAAACACTTCTCTGATTGCTCTCTTGGATCTGAAGTAACATGATTATTACACATTCTTTCTCGTGGATTGTTAAATGTGTCATACAGGAAAAATAAAAGTATGTAAATTAGACAGGAACATTGTAGACATACTTTATATTAAAACTACATTTCATTCCTTCCATGTATGAGTGTAATCTGGTGTCTTTGCTCAAAGGAATGAATAGAGAATGTATTGCAGTAGAGTTCTGATTATCCAGGTTGTGTGATGAATTAATTTCTCCACATAATCAGTAAAAGGAATATGCAAGTAATTTGTGAATTAGGATTTATAAAATGACACATATATTTATAAGTGTATTTAACCAAAACATTATTGGGAGAAACATAAGTGTACTTTCTGAAAAGCTCCTGTGCTATTTTGACATGTTAAGAGGAAAATCCTAACATATAAAGCATTCTCAACTCTCCAAATACATATTCAGAAGCAAAATAGAACTCCTTTTTTCCTTGTACTTCTTCCTTTTAAAAAGCAGTTCCACATCCAGTTTGTGTTTTCTCACTCGACACCTCGACACACCAGTCAGTTTTCTAAACAAAACTGCTGGATAGTCTGCAATCCAGTTAATAGGAGTGTACCATATCTTAAAACAAAATCCCATGGTCGATAATTGGGCTTAAATGGGATGAAGTAACAATGGATTGTATGTACTCTTGTTAGGATAGTTAACTCAAGGAAGTTGGATGAAAGACTTAGTGAAAGAATGCATACAGAATTTTGATTGAGAAAAGTTATGACATGAGGCAACTTGTTTAAGACACGTGTAAAAAGGACAATATGAAAATGACTGGACATTAGGTTTTGGAAATGTGTATTGGATAGAGTCCACTGATTGGCTTTTACGATATTGGTGATGAACTTTCAGGTTCCATGACAGAAGAATGTGTCTCAAATAATTCATGCTTATTTGTGTTTGTAATTTATTTAATGACACTACCAAAAGCTGACATGTAACATCTGAGGACAGGATGATTTGTAGATAATGAATGGGAAAGGATGTCAAAGGAATCAGTTGTAGTCTTTGAAGAGTACAGTCATCTGGGTTGTAACACTGTGTAAACAGAAAGAGCCTGACATTTTGGAGAATAATATTACCTTGCTCTTCAGAATCTGAGAGTATGCCTAGTAAGAACCAGCAATAAGCTGACTTCACCTTGCTTCCTGCTTGTACCAGTTTGTAGCTTGGCTTACTCTTTGACTCTGAAGGTGGAGGCCATGAAGACCTCCAGAATACTGGCTCTTTCCACGCTGCACAGCGTTACAACCAAGAATACTGCTCATGTTCACCGCCCTGAGAACTTCAAATTCCAACTAGTTTTAATGTAATTTGAGGTACTATCTTGGCATTTGAATGGAAAACTTGAGTCAGGATAACTGACCTCCGAGCTTGAAACTTGAACACATATCCTCAAAAACACAAAGCAAGAGTATTACTCACTCAAGAGTGATATTCAGTTGAGTTCATATGAGTTAATTATGTAGTAAGGCTGGGACTATGATAAAGGACATGGTAGCATAGTTGGTTGAGGCACTTCCTGGAAGATAAAGGGCTGCCAGCTGGTATGTAAGGCTGACAACCTCACTGCCATCAGTCAGCCGATTGTCTAGAAAATGTGGGAACCTCGATGTCTAACAACCCTATGGCCGTCCATGGCCTGTTACAGGGATAGCTTTCCCTCAGCCTCACTGCCATCAGTCAGCCGATTGCCTAGAAAATGTGGGAACCTCGATGTCTTACAACCCTATGGCCGTCCATGGCCTGTTACAGGGATAGCTTTCCCTTTTTCCTTTACTGGCAAGTAGCCACTAATGTACGTACAAGAGCATATATAAATTTAGTGAGAAGCAGAAACATTATCAGATTACCAATTGGTGATTCTTGTGTTACAGGCACTCCGTACTGGTCACAGGGTGCACAGAAACAGTATTACATTTCAAAACGGTGCGCGACAAAAGAAGCCTGTGTGAGAACAAGAAATAGATATATGCAATATTGCACGCATATTTGGTACGAAGATTGGAAATGTTCAGAATGTTGCCAAGGCGATCGCTGTAACTACTATGTTATTGTGAGTTACTTATAAAGAACAGGAGTATTTGATTTATTTAGTTATGTATTTATATGATATATTTATTATATATGTAAATGGAATTGGTAACATTACTTTAAAGGGTAACAGGTGACCCAAGGAANGTGTCGTAGATTTACCGCACGTAAAAGATCCTCATGTCTCTAGGAGACCACTGAGCAAAATTAGGCAAGTTTCCCACCCAAGTAGCTTCCAATTCCCCTGATAGATGGGGAAGTATCGGGGACCACTGCCAGGGAGGGCCGACCTCGCTGGCAGAACGGGGCTGATAGCGAGCACCAGTACTGGAAGGGCATGGCAGCTAGTTAGAATAATTAAAGGGGGACGCACAATAGATCGACAAATGTTCGCAGTGCATGGGGAAAACCACCCCCTCCAAATAATAATAATAAAATAGGTGTTGGGGGCTTCTTACATGTAAGCTTCCAGGTTTGAAGCAGTGATGTGGCAGGCAATATGGTAGTAACTTTTATTAAAATTAATTGGGTCACCTATTAATATATAAGTTCACAAAGAATTGTAGACCAAATTTTTAACCCTGTTGTGGAACAGATTTCAGATCTCGCAGTACTATAGGGTAGGAGACCATATTTTAATTCAGGGTAAACAAGTCAAAGTCAAAGTCACATTGTGACTGACGGTCAGTCAGTCTGTCCGACTGGGGCTCATGACCAGATCCCCCCCCCATATGGAAGTTACTGTACTGTCCATATGGGGTGCCCTCTCTGATGAGAGGTCGGGTCTGTCATTTGTCAGGCATAGTCAGTATTTACATATATTTACAAATTTAATCTTAATTCCTATTTCTATGTACAATATATACAAGGCCTCTGTCAGTCCAGGCTCAGTACAGCAGATTATGCCATATTTCTAGTAGTATCCACTACCACGGCAGTCTAATCACTTGAACGGTCGTATGCCTGACCGCCGCCAAGTTTAAGCCCCTTATACTTTCTGTGTTGGGCTTCGCCTTGTCTGATGTTGCGAACATTCTCATTCATGATTTTGTATGACTTCTGCTTGTTTCCTGCATAATTTTGTTATATAGTCATATACGTACAGGATTTTGAATGCTATGTGCAAATCGCGGACCGGTGTGCGCCTTGGAAAATTGCCAATGGTGTGGAGAACCTTGTTTTGGCAGGCGCTGCAATTTTACTAGATGGGTGTCTGCCGTAAACTCCCAGGCTGGACTAGCATAAGTCATTACGGATCTAATAGGAGCTTTGTGGAGGGTGATTTTAATGTTAGCGCTCAGTCGCTTACTTTTGAATAGGGAATACACTCTAATGAATGTTCTGAAGGCCTTGACTTTGATCATTTCTATGTTTAATCTCCATGTAACTCTCTTATCGAAGATTACACCTAGATATTTTGCACTATTTACAAATGGAATATTTCGTCCATTTAGAGTGAGACAAGACTCAGGCGGTTGACGACCATGAGAGAAGTAGACCCCTTGAGTCTTATATTCATTAATTTTAATATTCCAGCGCTCACACCAGGTCTCCATTCGGCTGAGACCGTGATGGAGTTTTCTAACAATAAAACACTCCTTGCAATCTTTCGCATACAGACAGGTGTTGTCTGCAAAGAGGGCCAGGTGAACGCCATGTGTTTGGGGGCATCATTTATGTACAAATTGAAAAGAGTAAGGGAAATGACAGAACCTTTTGGCACCCCTGCTTGCATTTCCCATGGAGTTGACAGTTCGCCTTTAACCGAAACCCTAAATTTACATTGAGAAAGAAAGGACCCAGTAAGCTTGGTCGAACTGTTCGAGAATTCCAATTTTGATAACTTATACAGCAAGCCTGAGTGCCACATGGTATCAGAGGCTTTTTTGATGTCCAAGAACACTGCAGCCATAGACATTTTATTGTTGAAATTAAGGGTTACGTGGTCCGCCAGCCTCATACATTGCAATGTCAGGCTGTGACATGCACAAAAACCAAACTGGCTTGCATTGAGGAGTCCTCTTTCTTCAATATGTTTTTGTAGTAATTTCAAAATTACTTTTTTGAATAGTTTTCCTGTTGTGGACAGGAGGCTGATTGGATGTAAATTTTGCGGGAATTTCGGATCTTCACCGGATTTAGGTAAAGTTATTACTTTTGCTTCCTTCCAAGTATTTGGAAAATGAGAGAGCCAAAGACAGTGATTAAATAAACGAGTTAGGTGAACCAATGGTCGCCTTGGAAGTTGCCTCAGGCATTCATTTGGGATGCCGTCAATTCCACAGGCCTTTCTCAATTTCAAGGAATTTATCAATTTTTGTATGTCACATGGTCTGATCCTTTGAGGGGGTTTGTCATCTACGGTTTCGAGCGGAGCTTGAACTCTAGCCTTTACCCGCTGTTCATGGTTATCGTCGCACAGTTCATGTGGCGTGAATTTCCAAACAATCAGCAATTGCTTTGGCTCTTTCGAATGGGTGAAATTTAAGGTCTGCAGCACCATGAATAGCAGTTGGTGCCCTTGGTCCATCCCTCTTTAGGAGGGATTTCGCAAAGGGCCATATTCCCTGAGGTGTGACTCCAGCGTTACCTATTTTTGTTTCCCACCGTTCAAGTGCCTTTTTTTGGGTCGTTTGCCTGATTGATTTTGTGACCCAATTTAGTGCCGTCTTACACGCTGGATCCCTGGTTTCTTGCCACAATTTTCGTAGCCCCTGCTTATGTTTTAACAAGTGATGTAGACCAAGAAGATTGTTATTTATGTCCGAAAGTGTAACTTTTCTTGTGGACAACCTATATGCCAAAGCAGTAGAGGCTGCAAAATCGTGCGTTGCTTTATTGGCTTCTACCCCAGACTTAATTTCTATTTTAGGTGATATTAACTCAGAGGCGAGGCTTTGAAACTGCCCCCAATCTGTGAATTTTGAATAGGTTCTGAAAGGTTCCAAATTTTAACATGATCCAGTATGTGGAATACTATTTTTTTTTTCATTTCATGCATCCTTTTATGTTACAGTACAATTCGTTGTTTACATTCCCTACAGAATGGACAATACTTTGTAACATGAGGTACCGACTAAACAATTAACATTAATTTACTACATCAACATCACGAGCCTCCTATACAATTTTATATACACAAAATATAGAATATTCCAATTTGTCTGTGGGAACGCAATGAAATTACAAAACCAATGACTGATTCAATGATAAATAAAACATCAATCTAAGAAATTTATTCCTGTTTCTACTATAACTTCTGTTTTATATAATCTGATGTATTGTATTTTTACATCAAGTGTTTTATATAATTAATAGTATTGTATCCAATTTTACTAGTAC